GACATTTATGATGGGGCATTGCGACTTTCCATTTGTTAACGAAAAAAATGATTCGAAAGTGAGAACTTATAAAAAAACACTCAAAGTTCATATAAGAGTTGGCAAGGCATCAAGGACTTTCTTTCATGCGTTTCAGGATGACGTAATAGTCACTTAAAAGCGTTTGACAAACATATTAGATGACGCGTTTCCAAAAGAAAAAAAGAAAAACCTCAAGTGTATTTGCAGCAATCTTGCCTTTCAATTTATGGTGTGGGATCTCTACTCAATCAAAAAGAGTCCATAAGCCGTCTTGCTAGGGACTTTTGAAGGTCAAAGAAACTGTAAAATTGAATTCATGTAATTGCATCCATTCTGAAAGTCTAGCTATCTTGCTTAATGCAGAATTTAAACAAAAACTTGTATTTCATGGAATATGGACAWAGTGGAAAACGAGGATTTAAAGTCTTCAAAGAGAGTGCATGTAAGATTTGTGCGCCTAGTGTTTTTTGTTTTATTTTTTTTCGAAGATAAATTAAAAAATAGTAGCAAATATCAGTAGATGTGATAAAAAGGACAGACTTTAGTTATCAAGATAAGAAAGTAATTATTGATATAAAATGTAATATTTTGTTGACGTTGTGATCAGTGAGACCTGCAGGTGAAAACTAATAGACTGCAGCTGTAAACAGAATAAGTAAAATAGAACTATAAGACATTGACAACACAGAAATCGTTTTTATTGTTGGGAAGGAGAAAAACATGTCACACTTCAGGTTGGAAAGAATTGAGTTTCTATACCAACTTGTCATGCACATAGAATAGAAAACGTTGAATAGTTGTATATGTTAGACCTGCTTTTCACTAACAGTTATCAAGATCACGATCAAGGGTAGAGGGAACATAATCTACTGAATACTTACGCATCATCGTCCTCAAAGATGACTTTTCTCTTCTCCTGAAGAGAAACCATGACATTTTTGATGTAAAATCCGGCGTAGGTTAACCACTGTCGTGTTTTAATGCACGGATAGCACGCCGGGAACCACTATAAAATGGAATATCAGCCCAACTTGGGTGGGGGTGTGCCGCACGACTCTCAAAACCCTTACCCTATCCCAGACCAATTTTTTTTTATTTTACATACCCTACCCCAGACTAAAGGTACAAAGGTACATTATTTTTAGTGCTGAAAGCGTGGCCTAGTAGATACGATCACAGGCAAAACTCCACCCTACCCCAGACAATGAGACTCAATACCGTATCCTAGACAAAAAACTACCCTATCGCAGACAAAACTCCCATCCGGGAATATCAGTATATCTTGGAAATATTTAAACCTCAGTATGCTTACTTTCAGTGCTGAGCTTTCGGCTGCTTTACAATTGACTTTGCTCTTGGCATTGTTTTCTTTCATGATGTTTTTCTCCAATTCGCTATAGATTCACAATATGTTTTAGAATACTATAAAACGAGGTTACTGAATTCAATACAGTTAAAACATGAGAACATATCTCACCTCTCAAGTCTTTTAAGCTTGTCCTGTGGACAAGACGTTATGTTATTATTGCATGAACTGATAAAATAAGTATTTTCAAATACTAAGTGCAAATACAGATTCTATGGATGACTCAGCAGTTTAATAAACAAGCGAGACAACCAAAACTCCCATACTTACTGTTAGATTGGCAAACACTGTATACCAAATTTTCTCTTCAAAATGCTTTGTCTGCAACTCACTGTAAATTATAACATTAACGTCAAATATTACGAGAGCTAGAGAACATCTGACAATGTGTTTGAGTCGTGACTGCGTATAACTTCAACTCTGTTTTTCTACTTCTTAAAGTGGAATGGATTTTATAAACTCCTGAAATACACTTAGTGTTCTACACTTTTGTTCAGAAAGTTGTTCTTCGTCTTTGGTGTTACAAACTTTATTACATTTGGACAATTCCACTTTTCACGAATTAATGAAATACACTCTATCAACGTATATATATAACTGTACCTTTGAAGCTCAGCCACTTTGGCCTGTTGATGTAACATCAGCAATCATTAGCATTTGATTGAAGTTATTTGACAAGAATGATATCATCAGTACTTACATTTAGTTTGTCTTGTTCTTGTTTGAAAGCTTTTTCTTGAGACGTAATGATTTCGTTGTTCTCTGCTTCACGGTCACTACATGGATAATGCAACACATTTGATGATATTGCAAACGCTTAAGCCAGTATGCGTATGGGAAGAGAGTTCAGGGGGATTAGCAGATAGGAAAGGAAGGAGTTGGGTTTGAGCATTTTAGTTTTTTTTTGCATAGAATATTCCGACAACTTTCTTTGTCATTGTTTTCTTCTTAAATTGACGAGCTTCGATTGCTGTTGCTACATCTTATTATTCTAGGGTACACCTCTATCACTTTTGCGCGCGGGAAAGCAATTTCTAAAATATTTAGGATACAACGCGCGCTGTGATTGGTCGAAAACCATGTTTGATTACAGTATCAAAACACGCTCGTTTCATATCGTATCAAAAGTCAGAATTCTTTACAATTTTCTTATTCTTTTAATTTTAGAAAAGAAATAAAAGACGAAATTCCGTGTTTG